GGGGAGGATATAAAGTTTAAAAAAAATTTTATTTGTAACAGCCAAAAATTGGAAACCACCCAACATCCATCAACAGGTGAATGGATAAGCTGTGGTGTATCCATATAATGATACTACTCAGCAATTAAAAGGAACTACTGGTATATGCTATAACACGGGTATATCTTAATTACACTGAATGAAAGAAGCCAGACAAAAAAGAGTATATACTATATGATTTCAGTTATAAAAATTCTAAAAAATCCCAATTATTTTACAGTGACTGAGAGCAGAGTAGTGGTTGTTTGGGCACTGGAAGGGAGGGGTGGAAAGGAGATTTTACAATGGGACACAAGGTAACTTTTTGGGGTGATGGACTTATTATCTGCATTGCAATGGTAGTCTTTGTGCATGTGTACATGTCAAAACATCCAACTGTACTTTAAGTATATGTAGTTTATTGTATATCAATTATAAATGCTCCTAAAGGAGATTCTTCTCTTGTTTTTGTTTTTTTTCCCTCACCCAAGGAGACTTTTTCCATTGCTTTTCAGAGAGGGGAAGGGGGAGAGAGAGATAGAAACATTGATGTCAGAGAGACACACTGACTGGCTGCCTCCTGCACACACCCAGACCAGGGCCGGGGATTGAGCCTGCAACCGAGGTATGTGCCCTTGACTGGAATCAAACCCGGAACCTTCAGTCCACGGGATGACGCTTTAATCACTAAGTCAAATCGGCTAGAGTGAGATTCTTATTTATAAAATACTAATGAGCTTGACTAGCTCATCTCTCAAGTTCCCTCCAGATCCAGTTTTTCAAGGGTTCGTATTATTTCTTCTAATAATATAAAAAGGAACAGTGTAGAAATAAGAAAAAGGGAAGCATGTCATTCTAGACTCAAGTCAGGCACAAATTTCCTTATAGCAAAAGTAAAACACCGAAACTAAAATATACCCCCACATTTTATAAACTTCAGGTATAAAAATAAAAATATTTTTAACTATTAGGAGGCATGGCACAAAATTCAAAGTTCTAAAGAACAAAATCTTATACTAACTACAATATTTTTGTATTTTAAATTTATTCATATACAGGCTCCCATTTGACCTTTGTATACCTCGCATGTATATCCCATGATGACAGCAGATAACTTACCATTTATCAATGCACTTCTGACAAAAGCTGTGAGCACAAGGCAGGATGAGGTCAACTCGACCATCCATGCAGATACAACATTCCTCCTCATCAGTCAGCTGCTTCGCCCTGCAATGTGAAAGCTGAGCTGGAACAATGATATTCTCTGCTGTCATTATAGTTTAAACTGTTTCCATTGCCTTAAAAAGCATTATCAAACAACTATGTGCCCTCATGATAAAGCAAGTGACTCATGCAATATCAGACTAAATTAACATACCTTTTAGGGAAGGCAATTATATTAGGAAAGAAGTATTAAGAGGGGCAAATTTCATAAAGACTGTATAAAAGATAAATTCTGCAATAGTTAAAAAGGAAATATGAACAAAAACTGGAAATATTCAGGTCTTTCTGAAAATAACCCATTTAAATCATAGTTAATTTATATAAATGAATCCAACCAATATATGATTTATTCACCATGCAGGATACAAAGCTCTCTAAAATACGGACCTTGCCATCAGGGCCTTCCTGTGCTGATGCTGATAATGAGCATATAAATGAAAAACAGCTTAGGCGTAAGTATCGGGTGCTACAGGAAATACAAAAGAGATAGAAAGTAGTCTCGGTCCTCAAGGAGCTCTTTCACCTTGGGAAGAACAGAGATGTCAAATCTTCTACTCTAGCCATAATTTAGAGCGCCCTGAATGAGCAGGTGCCTTTGCATGTGGTGTTTTTCTTTCCTGGAATACTCTTGTGAGCTTGGTAAACTCCAACCTCAGTAACTCAGCTCAAAATATCATCTCCCTGTTCTCCACACCAACATGTGCCTCGATTAAAGAACTTACATGCTGTATTTCAACTGGCTGTTTATTGGTGGGTTTATCTATAAATTGTAAATTTTTTGAATAAAGGGAGTTTGTCTTCGGTTCTCAATAAATATTTCTTGAAGGGACTTTAATTTGCTTTTATCCTTTGTGCTGTTCTGTAATTGTTAGGTTTTGTTCATCAAGCATGTATTACTTTTTTAATTATACAAAGACTGAATGTTCCAATGTATATCCACTAGACTATAAGTTTAAGGGTAGAAACTATCTCTAACATGTTTTTAATTCCCTGCTGTGCTTATACCACTATATATAAGACACTGATATATCACTTTAAAATTCATCAAAATTTGAACATAAACAGAATATAAGCAAATGTCAAATGTGCATTACTTGTACTAAGAGCGAAGTAACGGAGGAGGAAATGGGTGTATTTCAAACTTGTTGGAAAGATGAGGTAGATAAACGATAGGATTTTGACAGAGAACATGCTAGGTGAATAAACTAAGCTGTGGAGGTAAGAAAAAACCTGTGTGTGTATGCACACACGCTTGCAGCAAGGAGCCTGGCATGATGCTCTGGGAGAAAAGTTGCTTAAATATAGCAGAGATAATAATCTGATCCTTGAATATCAAAACAAAAAGTTTAAACTGGTTCTGACAGGCAAACTACAATTAGAATTTGATCAAGGGAAAAGTAATACCCATTGAAATAATATTTTAGGAAGATCAACTGGGAATGCAGCATGAGGGACAGTCTAGAGAGGGAAGAAAACCAATTAGGCTCTTATTTCAGCAATTCACCTGGGAGATAATTAGGGCCTGGTCTAGGGTCATTATGAAAAACAAATCATCAGGATGTGGTAATAGATGAAATGTTATGCTTCAGTAATGGGGCAAAATAGGGTAGCCACTGAATTGAAATGGGTAAACAGAATGAAAACCTAGATGGATATGAATCTAATGTATTTGATTTTTTTCTACATATGTTTATTTCAATGTTTAAGTGCCTTTTAGGTGCTACATACTGTGCCAGGCCCAGAGGAACTGGAGTCTCTGCTTTTGAGGAGCTTACAATTTACATTTAAGGATGTAGACTTGGGTGTCAATAGCAGAGAATTAACAGAATCCATATATACTGACAGGTTAGATGAAAAGAGGGCTATGAAGAACAGCATTCTGGATAGAGGTAAAAGAAAGAACAGGAAACACAGAAGCAGCAATGGAACCTGTATAATGTTCACCTGATTTTTTGCTACCTTCCAAGCAGTGCAGTGACCAGAAGAGTCTTGATCTACTTTTCCTTGTTAGACCACTTATAGAGCATTCATTTCTATGCTCCCTACCCTGAAAGACATACTGACAGATAAAGGATTATCCAGGAAAGCCTCCAGGACACAGAGAGATTCATATAAACAAAGGCTGAAGGGACTGAGGATGCTTATCTTGGAGAACAGAGGCTCAGTGGGCACCTGATTATGTTTTCAAATATGTGAAGGCCTGGAAAAGAGACTTTTTTGGTGGAATTCCAAAAGGCACTGCCACTGAAATAAGCAGACTACAGTAATAATTTAGTGATAATGATAGTTAACTCTTACACACATATAATTATGGGCTAGGTACTATTCTAAGCAATTTACATATATTAACTCAATTCTCTCAAGAGTCCTACGAAGCAGATACTATTGTTATCCTCTTTAAAAGATGAGGAAACCAAGGAAAGAGAGTTTAATAACTTGTTCAGTCAGTTAGTACAGTCAGGATTTGAACACAGGCAATTTGATTCTAGAGGCTGTGCTGTGTGGCCTTGAGAGAGCCAGATTTGGGCTATTTGAGGAAAATAATACAAAAGGGAGGGTTTCACCGTAATTAGAACCATCTGTATATGAAAAGACTTGCTTCTCTGAGGTGAGTCCTATATAACTGCAGGTATTCAAGTACAAATTGGACTATCACTTGCCTAAATGCCATCAGTAGAATCTTACCATTCAAAGTGTTGTCCATGGATCAGCAGTAGTGACACTACCTGGAAGCTTGATAGAATCTCAAGCTCCTCCTCAAAACCACTGAATATCAAAATTTAGGAAGCACTGTAGTACAGGGTTTTATGCACCAGAGAGTAGTAATGCAGGTTGGAAGCATGGCTGTACTGCCAGACAGGCCTGAATGTGAATCTCAGCTGGGCCAATTTCTACCTTTGTCATTTATTTGCCTAAACCTCAGTTTCCTCATCTGAAATGGGCTATTTCCATGGGGTTGTTGTGAGGATTTAATGAGTTTATACATGTAGAGCACCCATCACAATACCTAATACCCTATAAGTACTCAATAAATGTAAACCACTAATAGAAATATTCATCAGATGTAAGGCTGAACCAATTAATACCTCATAAGATCCCTTTCAACTTGAAAAGTCTGGTTTCCTATGAACTACTGTATTAGGGTGTAACTAAAAACCAAAAAGCATACAAAGGCAAGAAGCAGTCCTAACCTACTGATCTGGCATTGAATTTTCTAGTCTTGAGGGCACATGAAAAGGAGTAACACCCTATCTCCTTCACTAAGATGATTGCAACGAGAGAAAGGTATTACTTTCATTTCATTTGCTATGACAGAGCTTAAATACACTGGTAAATGCTATTCTTGGCTTTAAAAATATTATGTATAAATAATCACCATTTTGAAGAGGGAGAGAAAAAAGGCACAAAGTCAGACACTTGTCTTTGAAAGATTAACTTTACAAAATACAGGAAAGATAAGCCTTAATGCTGCCTATAATGCTATAAAACTCATTTTGAATTTCAGTACCACTTGTACAGCCCAAACTTAGAAAATCAAACAATCCTATTAAAGATAAACAGAAAATGATAAGTGGAAAATACAATTTTATTACAACACAGTATTTGGAAACCAGTTGGTTAAGAATAGACCAGATAATGCAACTAGAGCAATAAAAAACAAATTCTTGTTAAGCATATTTTTAACTTTAAGGTAAGACACAGTCAATACAGGTTTCTGCTGTCTACCCTATATAAGACAGGATGTCAACATGTCTGGACCCAGGTAAGACTTTCCAATGAGGCGTTTACAAATTTAAACTTGGTCATAGTTGTCAAATGGCAACAGGTGGGAGCTTTAAAATGCCAAAAACATTATAGAGAAGAAAAAGGAAGTTTAGACAGAACAATAATGTATCAGGCCTGAGTAAACAAGCACCAGCACAGAAAACACTAGCTGACTTCATTTTCTCTGGTATATGCAATATGTACATAAACTCCTTGTTCATTCCTGAATGTACTGCCAAATCCTAGAGCCAATATTTATAATTTTAATGCTCCAATTAGATACTTTTAAGGAAAACTGGAATGGTTCTGCCATTTTTGGACCTAATTTCCTGGAGGGCTTTGCTGTAAGAACCTAAATATCTATTATAAGAGGGGTATTAACTGAAGCTCTTTTGTCATTAAATGCAAGTATGTAGAGTAGTGAGTGGATTCATGGAATCAGGGTTGACAGAAATATTACCTGGTGTTAGCCACTTCAACTTTTCTTTAATTTGGCACTCCAACCATGTCCTGAAGTACAGACTAACCCAAAAGCTGATCTGGGATATAATATCATTGAGACAAAAAGTAACGTGATTTAAGATGTCACAAAGAGCACCAGCAAAAATATTAATGAGATTTCACTAGCTTGCATATTGGAAAATGAGAGAAACCTGGTACTTATGTATTGGATACCTTCTCATCCAAAGACTAGCCTGGCAAGATGCCTCAGATGACATGTTTTCATCAGGGTCTTCAGAGGTAGTGCTCTGTGCCAGCATTTCTGCTGCGTGACTGGTGATGTCTTTATAAAGCTGAACAAACTGGTACAAGTTCATGACCCGCGATGCTTCAACGAGGCCACAGCTTTTGTTAATCTAAAAGCACAAAAGAAAATGAAGAAAAGCAAACACACCCCAAAACACTGATAATTTCTCAGATCAAATTTTCCCAAAATGATGAACAAGTAGAAGTTTTTCAGGTTTACAAATTACCTGACAAGAGAGTCAGAGTCTGAGCAAATGAATAATACCATGCTCCCTACATTTGTGGGGTTCAAAGTAGCTACACAAATTTATCTCATTTGATACTCAAATAGCCCAGGAGGGTTGATTAAACAGCATCCAGTTTAGAGTTGATGAGGTCAGGTGATGTTCCCAGACTCAAGAAATGAATTTTAGAGATCAATATTGACAACTGTCTTCATTTTAATTTCTTAAAGAATTTCTTAACTAAAGTACTTATTTGAATCCAACAACTACATGCCATTCTACTACAACTGAAACAACAGATTGCCTTCTTGAATATCTTAAGTTCTAGTTTATACCCAAACTTCCAAACTAAAGTGAGAAAATTATATTGAAGTAAATCCTAACAAAAAAGGTTATTTTGAAATATAGCAAAAACTCATTTAAAATGAAGCAACCAGTGTCTACAGGTTTGTACTTAACCCTGCTCTAGCTTTTTTTTTTTTTTTAAATATATCTTTATGGATTTCAGAGAGAGGAAGGGAGAGGAAAGAGAGAGAGAGAGATAGAAACATCAACGATGAGAGTCATTGATCAGCTGCCTCGTGCACGCCCCCAACTGGGGATAGAGCCCGCAATCCGGGCATGTGCCCTAACCAGGAATCGAACTGTGATCTCCTGGATCCTAGGTCAATGCTCAACCGCTGAGCCACACCCTGCCGGGCTAGCTTACACTCTTAATGTGTGGACATATTTGGGGCAAGTGTGAGGTAATAGGTAAAGAGAGATAATATTGCTTTCAGGTTGAGACTCATGGAGTGGGGTATATATTCACTTTTGAAATGACCAAAGCTAGTAGGGTTGAGGGCAAAGAACATGTATTAATTAGCAACATATTAGAGATGTGAAAAATTTCCTCTCAACACAGGAGATGGTAAGGAAGACTATGGGAACAGAAGCAAGGAAATCTATTAAGTGCATATAAAAATAAATGGAACAAACAAAATCAGAAAATACTTAGAAAGAAATGAAGAACACAGGGAGAGGTATAGATAGAAAGCCTTAAAACTGTGAATGAGGGAGGTTTTGAATTGTGTTGATGGAACTTGGGATATGAGAAAGTGAAGTAATTAGGTTACATATTAAAAAATTATTATAGCAACATTTCCATATTTGGAATGAAAATAATAATAGTTGTGACTAGCATTTATTGTTTACTACTTGAGAAGTCAACAAGAGGAAAAACAGAATCAAGTGTGAATCAGATTCCATGTGAAAATGGCAGAACCATTGCTAGTAATTAAAAAAATGATTAAATTTTGGAATGGCACGATCTATATGGAAATGAATATATATAATAGTCCTTGCAATAAAAGAGAACAAATAGAATTAAATGTGACAGAAATTTATAGATTACAAAACAGATTTTCAGAGTGGAAGAAACTGCCAGTCTTCCTTTGGAACTGCATAACTCAGAAGAAATTAGGGAATAATTCACATAGATATAGTATTTAACAGGAAAGTTTAGCAAATTCCAACTAATATAATCATAGGATTCATGCAACAAATATTTACTGAGTACACATAATGTTATAGTTAATATGTGCACTGCTCTAGGCACTGGTGACATTGTGTGTATAACAGACAAAATCCTGTCCTCGTGGAATTTACACTATAGGTAGGAGAGAGAGACAATAAAATACAGATTAGACAGAAATAAGTTTTATGGAGAAGATGAAACAGAGGAGATGAAATTCTAAAGGGCTGTAAGGAAGGCATCACAGAGAAGATGACATTTAAGAACTAAAAGGGGTGCAAGAATGAATCATATAGATATTTGGGGGAAGGATAGTTCCAGGCTGAGAGAATAGGGAGTGCAAAGGCTGTCAGGCAGAAATGTACCTGGCAAGGAGTGCAAGGAGTCCAGCAAGCAGCCCAGGGAGGTTGGAATAGAATGAGAGGGAGGAGTGGGAGAAGATAAGGTCAAGGAATGAGGTGGGGACTGAATGTATAAGACTTTGCTGATCATGACACAAAAGGAAAAAAAATCTCCTTACCCAGGAGTTCTTTATGGGTTGGTCAGGAATGGACTTCAGGGCACTCATGAATGACCAATTCAATATTTTTATGCACATGGATGATTTTACTGTTTGTATGTTTTAGAGCATGAGTTGGGATAGAAGAAGGCCTAATAAAATTTGTTCCTTCATTTTCACCAAAAGTTATGTGGCCTCAAAAAGGTTAAAAGCCAACTATTCTAATCTACTCATTGGTGGATGAGGCTTCCTAATACTCTATGATAGCTGCCATTATAATTTTTAGCACAGGTGATTTAGTCAATTATCTAAAATTTAAAGATGAACTAAGAGACAGTGTATTGATGATGAATTATATAACTAAAAATTACAGTTCTATAACTGAAAATTTATAACTAAATTTCCATTCTATAACTAAAAATTACTAAAGCAAAACAAAAAAACCCAAACCTTTCTAACAGATTTAGAAATTATTATTAAATAAATAAAACCCAGTGTTCTTAAAAGAAATGATCTCCTAAGATAACTAATTTTTAAGGAGTCATCTTAGAGCTAAGGAGGGTGTCACCTTAGGATTCTGCGGCCAGCTAAATCCAGAGAGAGGGGTAGAAGGTTTACTATCACCTTTCTTGATTATAAAAAATCTCTGCTATATGGTAATTATGCAACCAGTGAGATTCAAACAGTTAACCTGGAAGGCAATAACAGTATAAAAACTATGTTTTATACAGTTTTATAAATAAATGTAACAACAAAATTATAATCAAATTATTAACATTTATTTCAGTCATACTATATTCCACTATTAAATGTGGTTCTACCCACCAAAATAACTTAAGCTCTGCATGGGAAGCCTCTATCACTCTCACCTTGGTACAGACCACCCGTACAACCACTTTCCAAAAGGCAGAGGAATCAGACCCAGGTTGTACCTCAAAGAGAAGATGTTTTTCCTGGCTAGAAGCTACTTTAGCAGTTCTGAAAAGAGACAAACGTATTTGTTAATTTTATGAAGTCATACAAAATAATGGAGTCATGAAACCAGATTCAAGAAACACTTTAAAACAGAGAAGGAAATTTGAAGAAAGCACACAAAGACAAATAATAATAATGATTGTAACAACTGGATTCTTAAAACACAGGAATAGAGAAAGTTTTGATTAAGAGTACAACTTAATTTCCAAGGTTTTTAAAGTCAACAGCATAGTGGAATGATAATTATAAATCTTTTTGTCATATCTAACATCTCAATGGTCTTTAAATTTTTAACAAAGACATCTACAAAAAACATATCCACGGAATCAGGTATTTAAAAGAAAAACTAGCTGGTTTCACTTATCCAAATTTTTATATCATGCCATCAATGCTAATTTAAATTGGTTCAAAGATATAAATATTCCTGCTCCCTTCTATCATTACTCACATTTCTGTCTGAGCACCAGTGGGGGTATTACACTCAGAACAAAGTGACTTACAGCTAAATAAATTGAGGCCATTGAAAATTAAGCAACTAGCCTTAGGTAACAAAATCTGCCAGGGAATGTAATTCAGCTGTGCCAGCTCTCAGCTGTTTCCTAGCTATCAAGCCACGCTTCTTCTGTATAGGTTTAACTTTAGTTCTCAGACAGCACTGCACTTATAAAATGCCCAACCCTGGTCATGAAAATTGGTTTAAAAACCAAATCCAGACAGAAAATTCTTATGCTAAATAAATACGAGGAAAATATTCTTGACCATCACCTCTGTATTACACAGTAAACTTAGCTTGTGGGTGCTTTCACAGGACACATTTTATTCAGTATCTTTAGGCAAAAAGGCAAAATTTTGTATAGTAGACTAGGTTTACATAAGTCCTAAGACTCTAAAGGGATGGTAAATGTCACTGCTTATGCTGCGTAAGAGTTGAGCCAATAGACATAAAAACCATTCCACTCTTATGATACTATTAAATTCTCAACCCAATTTTACTCCCTAAGAATATGGTCCCAGAAGGAAGGCCTCAAATACTACCATTTAGACGATCTAAAAAAAAAAAAAAGGAGTAAGTAAAATGCTAAAGTTTTAAAAACCAACGACTACATTTTTATTATAAAGATCAGACAATACACAAACACAGAAAAATGTAAAATCTCTCTCACTGCCCCTTTTTCCACCAACTCCCCAGAGACCCAGCATGCAGCTTCCTAGTTCATTTTCTACGTATTTACATATATAACCATATAGGATGATCCACATATCTATACAGGGCTTTTTAAAAAAATAAATGAAATCCAGTGTTCTTAAAAGAAATAATCTTCAAAGATAACTTTAAAGGCATTCTTTATTCATTATGACTGGCTAGTAACAGTAGACTCCAGTCATATCCATTAAAAGACTGTAATTCCTTCTCTTTATCTAATGTGTTACAGATGGTGAAGTATGTTTCTTATCAACCAATATAGTTATCACATAGCTAGGGAGCAGGTTCATGTATCTTACCCTAAACTATTAATAAGGACTGTAATATAAATTTATACTAAGTGGGTCCAGGCTTCCTGGTGATGTTGATTGGTTTTTTGGGAGTTTAAAGAGATGTTAAAGTGGGATAGTTAAGGTGGGATGGTGAAAAAACCTTCAGACTTAGAGAAAACTGGATCTACCATTAATACTTGGGCAATCATTTTAGGCCTCAGTTAAAATGTCCAACCCTCAGCAGAGTGCCTTGTACATACTATGGGCTCAGTGAATGTTAGCTAAATTGAACAGGCTAAAGAGAGACCCTTTAAGATCTTATTAAAAGGCAATGCCAGAATTACATCCCAAGGGAGATAATACACACACACACACACACACACACACACACACACACACGGATGTAGGTGCTGCTATAGAAAGACTTAACAGAAAGAAGTGACATCTGTTCATCAGTCACTAGTGGAGAAAACACACAAAGAAAAAGTAGTATTTTAAAAGCATAACAATCTGGAGCCATTCAGGGACAAAGAGCCCTGTGTATTTTAATAGCTTCTATTACAGATCAGTATAAAAAATGACATAATAAAGAATAAATTCACAAACAAAAGACTAAATTCTATTAAATACGCTCTTTAAGAATGTAGAGAAATTTATATTCCATTTAAAACATTAATCTACACAAGAATTAAGTAGAGATTTAAAGATGTTAGCTGGTTAGAAAATATTAGTAACTGAAATACCTTATTCTACGATGATAAATGAATTATTACTATATATGTATTTCTCTTGCAAAATAATGGCAGTGTGAACAAACATAGAAGACCTATTTATTTATTAACCAGATGAACTGGTTGATATATAGAAACCTGAGTGCCCTTTGACTATCCCAGGAGCCTTTTTCTAGTCGGGCTAACTGGCATACTCTCGTTATGTACCCCTTTAGTGCTTTAAAACAAGAACCAATTTATATGCCTGTGTTTAAAATTTAATTTTATGTTCCTTCAATTTCTTTTGTTCCTATTACATATTTTAAAATAGCCACATAGATGGTCTTACAGTAGGTAATAAATATTTGCTAACTGCTGCTGAAAATATTAAGTCCTATCAATCAATACTTCTGATTACCTCTCACAGTCATGACATGCGGGACATACATAAGGGGGAAAAATAAAATGAAAAAGAGCAAGCCTTACACATCATTAAGTTCAGCTATTCTCCCAAGAAATTCTTCGTAAGTTAAGGAGCCACTTTCTCGAACCAATGTGACATGTTTTGCTACTTTTTCTGGTAACTTGTTAAGAGCCAACTGCGTCTGATCCGAAATTTGTTGTCCCATGATGAAATGATGTCTTTGAAGTCCAGAGTGTTGCTTCACACAGTTTCTGTTAAATATATATAAAAATTACTATATATATATATACACACACACACACACATATATATAAAATAAACAGCAATATATCCATCTCTTCAAGAAAATAAAAGAAAAACTAGGAATACATTTAAGTGAGAGTTCAGTAGACTTACACAGCCTAACGTGGAATTTATTTAAGTTATATTTTTAAAGTAAAGGTTTATATTTCTATTTTTTAAGATCACATAGCTAAATGAGAAAACAGGATTCACTTATATTATTGGGAGAGTGATGAATCTCTAATTCCTATAATTTTGCCAAGTCAAAAACCACTACACAGACATGCACACGTGTATACACGCACACATGTGGAGGCATTTAAGTGACTCTATTTCATGGGAAGCGTGTTTACCTTATAAAATTTTCCTCAGAACATTTCTTGACTATTTACCACGCGTCAGACTCAAAACTAAGGGCCTTCCACATATTAACTCATTTGTTCCTTACAACATTAGTGATTTCTGAATTTCAAAGACTAGTAAAAGTTTAGAGCACCATGGTATTGCACATTTATTTTTAGTATGGATAGTTGTTTAAAAAAAAATCCCAAAACTTAGCAAAAAATTTAAAAAGAACAATTTATAACCTGAAAAGGATATATTAGAATAAAAGCCCTTCCAAGGCGGCCATAGCTTTCCACTGACATATACCACATATATGCACACATGCTATTGCCCTTCCTTTTTTTGTGCTAACCCAAACTTGTGAAAACATCATCAGAGCCAATGGTTGTAGGCCAGTGCTTGGAAACCACTGTGTTAAATGGCTTTTTAAAAAATTAAATTCAACAATGTTATGTGCTTGGCATTGTGCTACGTTCTAGGGATACAACAGTGAGAGAAAGAAACATGGTTCTTGCCACTGTGGAGCAAGAGACAGTGCAGAAGAGACAAACAATCACGCCAATAAATATATAATTACAAAATGAAAGTGCTAAACCAAACAAGTACAGGGTGCTACAAAAGCCTATAAAAGGGGAACTTATCTAGTCTTGTGTCAGAGAAGAAGTCCTTGGCCAAACAACATTTGATTTGAGGTCAGTCAGAGTTAGCCAGAGAAGAGGGTTAGAGGCATGGTGAGGGGAAAACATTGAAGGCAGAGGTCACAGAAAGTGCTTGACATAGGAAGGAGCATGGTAACTGCAGCAATAAAAAAAGCCAGAGTTACCAAAGCAGAGAGGCAGAAGGAGAGGGAGACTGGCACCAAGAGATGGGCTGTTTACCATTTTTATTGATGACCCAAAGACAAGACTGCATGCCTGCCCAATCTGTGGATGACTAAAACTGGAATGAAGAATGCCCACTGAATACCAGAATCAAGACTGAAGTAGGTATTTTCTGAAATGAAATAAATTACATCAAGTGTGACTAAAAGTTAATCCTATGTTTTGAAAAGCCAACTGCACAGAAACACATAGGGAAGATGTGCTGAAGGCAGTTAAAATATGAAAGGTCTGAGGGTTTCAGACAAAATAAGCCAACTTAGTAAACAGGGACAAGAAAGATGTTAAATATCCTAAACTCCTGCTAGCTAGAAGCAGATGTCCAGAGCAAGAGCCTAGTCCCACTGTGCTCTGCAATGGTTAGACCACACCGACATTTGTGATCAGCTCTTAGCAGTCACACTTTTAAAGGGCACCTAATCATTTGAACATATTTGGGAGAGTATGCAAGATGTTATAGACTTAGAAAAGGAAACAAAGCAATTTATTCTAGCTAATCACAGTTTAGCAACAACGTGGAGCAACATGATAAGTTTGTTCAAATATCTGAAGAGGTTTCATGTGAAAGAGGAAGTAAGATTTATTTCATATAGTTAGAACAGAACGGCCAATTTGTGTAAATTAGGCAGGTTTCAGGTCAATATAAGAAATTTCCTATCATCCATAACTATTTAGAAGTGGTAAGGGCTGTCTTATAATTAATGTATGTGAGCTTGTTCTCATTGAAAGTGTGCAGGTGTTTAAAGATCATCTTATGAGAGTTTTAGAGATTTCTGCTTGGGTGAGAAGTGGAGTAGGTGACCTCTAATCTAATATTTTACTCCCAAAATGAAACTTAAATTCTCTCTAGCTTTCCTGTATCAATACAATCAAGATGCAATAAAAGACTTTTTAACCAACCAGACTGAAAACTTTAAATTACACTTACATTACTTTAACAAAGAAAAAAAATCAAACTTTTGAAATATAGTCGTAACAGTGTAAAAACATTCAATGGTAATTTAACCAATGTGCCCATCAAACAGATATTTAAAGAGAAGCCTTAGTTACTTATTTACTGAATTAGAAAATGATCCTTTTTGTTTCTGCATTGTTTTGATCTGGTGCCCTAACTTTGAACGGCAAGGTTTGTAATTTGAGGCAACATATTAATTTGTTACCCTGTAATTGCATTTGGTATCTGGGAAACCTGATCACGACTAACTCCTCCTATTAGAAGGGAACACTATCTAGAGACTACTAAAAGAGCCTGGAACAGTGGTTCTCAACCTGGTTCAGTGGAGAGAGCCTGGAATTTATGGTTCATTTTGAATACCATAAAATAATGATAAATAATAGTATCTACCCCTAGTATAAAAATGTCTCTGTCATCTATCTACAATATAAAACCACACCCAAGGATGCATGTTCACAAAAACAATCTGTTGAGGCTCCCCTCTAGTCAATCCACACAGGTTTTTTAGTGTCCCTCTTTGGTGACTCTGTACATTCTACTATCGCAGCACATATGGCAGGTCACCTGACTGTGGCCCTCTGTGAGCCTCTTGAGGACAAGAGCTATGCTCGCTCTTCCAGCAGATACATAAGCATACAATAAATGTTTATGAATGGATACAGTAAATATTGTTGACCATTTTTGTTTTTTTATTCACTCAGTAGTCTTTTGACTCTTATTTATCTGTTTAGTCAGCTACTAGTAATAACGTGGGGAGAAGCTGAAGTTAAAAAAAATACACGGAAGAGAAAAAATTGAGAGAGAAAAAATTGTAAAAATTTATCATTCAATTAATATTTATGTAAATTGAGAAATATTCATTATTTGATATTAGCAAAATACTTCCTTCTAGATCATGGAACAGTAGTATTGCATGGGAACATAATTTGCAAACCACTGGCACAGAATTCAGCAAAAGACAAATCTCTGGTCAAGATTTCTCAAAGAACTAGCAGCTCTCCTACTACTGTGCCACCTATAATTTAGTCCTCTCTAGCAGGATAATAATGTGCTTTCAAAAAACATTTGAAGGATTTTTAAAATAAAAAACAACTGTTATTCTGAAACATAGGAATATCAAGGATTCCAAAAATGCCACATTCTCTAGTGGGTGGTAACATACACTCGATCACTTCTTTTTCTAACAAATGAATTGCTGTAATTCAAATATTCTTTATAAAGATATAAAATCACATCACGGGCAAAAACTAACCAACCAACCCCCAAACCCAAACCCAACCAACCCCAAAATCCTCCATGAAAACTTAAAACATATCCATTCATAAGAAGATTAAAGCGAAGTTGAAAAGCCTGAACAAGATAACTAGTTCATAAGTATTTTAGTATTTAGAAAACCGCTGAAAACTGCTCTCTGAAATTTTGTCATCAACTACTTTACTTACAAAAATGATATTTATAATTGAAATAATCAATTATTCTCATCATGAAGTNGTGAAAACTGCTCTCTGCGAAATTTTGTCATCAACTACTTTACTTACAAAAATGATATTTATAATTGAAATAATCAATTATTCTCATCATGAAGTCAATAATAAAAAAAATGAGTGATAAAAACTAAGTACTAAAAACTAGGTCCCTAAGGATACACTTTTATTACTCATTGCTTACGCAAACCATCTGTAGGTTGTTTTGCAAGATAAGAAATTAACAGCAGTTACAACAGATACACAGTGAAACAAATTAGACTAGTAAGAGTCACTACAGAGCCTGGAATGCCTGTTCTGGGCTCAAAGATCTTATTCAGATGAAAATTTTTATAGAAAGAAAAACTACCAAAGGATGGAGATTAAGGATACAGATTTCTGACAGCACCCGTGTGTTTACTAAGTACATTACATACGTAGTTTGAGAAATACACTAAATCCTCTCTGGACCCTCCCTGCTCTTTCTGGGAGGAGGGTAAGGCAAGTGTGTTAGGTGTCTGGATGTGAACTGAGAAAGATTAAGTTCTTACACGAAATGACAAAGAACATGCTTTGGAAACCTACAATTAAATTCTAGAGGAAATTATTTAGAAATGGCGGCCAGGCAGCATCAAAGGAAAGGGTAAAAGTCCACACTGTTTTTGAGTTATGGACTCAGAAGCATCGCTTCTTAGAGAGGTGACTTCAGATTAGCGGTGGCTAATTTCGGGTCGTGGGTATGAGATGCCCCGGAAAAAATTCTGAATGGATGGGGCGCAATTTAAAGCCATAAGAATGGGCGGAGGCGAGTGGAGAATAACTTTATACAGAAAATCTCAGAATTAAAAACCACAGGCAACTTTATAACTAAGCCAGAGGAAAGTACCGACTCACTGGGTGCCGTGAAACGGGGGCAGGGTCAGGAACATGGGCGTACACTGCAACTAAAATAAAGGGGCTGGGGATGAATTTGAGTAAGTCCACATTTTGTAAAACGATACAATAACAATTATTAGCAAGGAAACGTTCTGTGCCAGCCGGGTCTCAAGGTAGGTGGTTCAACAAGGCCAGGCCTCTGGGAAGGGCAGTCCAGCTAACCGGGGGCTGGGGGCAGCCCAGGAGCGTTTCTGAGTCCGGCAGCACGGCAGAGGGTTTCTAAGCCGGGGTATGGGCGCGGCTGCGGAGCTCGGGGCTCCCAGCCGCACCGGCCTCCCCGC